CCCCCCCCCCTAACCCCTCTCTTCTATCGCAGCCAGTAGCGGTGCTCAAGAAAAAAGATTGCCACGCATAGTTTAGCACAGAAAGCCCAAGAATGCAGCACCGACTACACCGTGCATGAAATCCGCACCAGCACGGGAAGCGCGGTCCCCGGCTTCCGGCAGGGCATGGTAGCAGCCAAGAGACAGCGTCGCGACGGTGGGGGACGCAAGACCCGCCAGGCAACACGACGACGCCCCTTGCCACGGAGCGCAAACTCGCCGAAGCCTCCTCCCCAAACCGCTCGCCCCTCCTTTGCTACCTTACGTATTAGCTAAGTGTGCAAGTGCTGACGGGAGGCGAGCGGGTGCTGGGGTAGCGGGATCCTACGGTACGGGCTCAGCGCTGCCGGAGCGCGGAAGCTGCTCGAGGCTGCTCGAGGCTGCTCGAGGCCCCTGTGAGCAGGGCGCGGTGGAGGTTTCGGTGCTGGAGGCTGCTTTGGCGTGGGGGTGTTGGCGTACGCGCCCTGTGCTCGGTCATCAGCGGCTGGGAGTGGGCGTCTGCGCATGTACATCAGCGTAGGAGTGGCGCGTAAGACGGATCTCGGGGGCGCTTCCATGGGCGTGTTGCTCAGATCGAGGATGGCCGGGTGGCCAGCGCGTAGTCGTACAGATTAGCTTTGGTTAGGCAACAGCGTGCTCTGAACGAAGTGTCGTAGGGAGACAAGCTGGCTGCAATCACCAGATCATTAACCATCAACTATTCGGGGCAATGCCTTTGGTTCAATAGTTCCAAACCTGGTATTGTAAAAGACCTACACAGCAATGGCTAGCGACTACCTAAGCGTATTATGATAAGAAACGAATGGCGAGTAGCCAGACCAGGGTATCAAAACAGAACTCCAGGCGCACCCTTCAACGTCCTCCACGAATAGCGAGAGAAGTTAAAAAAAAAAATAAAATAAAAAAAAAAAAAAAAAAAAAAAAAAAAAAAAAAAAAAAAATTAAAGAAAAAGAGGAAAACCAAGGAAACCGAAACCAATCACCAGCATGGCATGGCTCATACAGCATCGTTACTCGTCCCAAACGTCCGCGGTGGTTTAGATGTTCTCGACCATACCGGTGTGGATAGCCCTCTGGAAGCCCGAAGACCCGGTATCGAAGTCGCCGCCAATCTGGTTATCGTCACGGTACCTGCTGGGGCCCTCGCCAACAGTATCGGCCTGGGCCATCTGCTGCTGCACCGTCTGGTTCATAGCCGGCAAGAAGATGACCTTTGAGTTTGCCGTCTTGGCCATCGCCTGCATGGCCTCCAGATAGCGGATCTGCATAGCGGGGGCGCTGCTCAAGATATCGGCAGCCTGGCGCATGAGCTTGGCGGACTCGACCTCGGCGCGCGCAGCAATGACCTTGGCCTCACCCGTGCGCTTGCTCTGCGCCGCCATGGACAGCGAGTCCTGCAGCTCCTGGCTGAAGATGATGTCCTTGATGAGCATGCTCTCGACCTCGACGCCCCAGGAGGCGCTGGTGTCCTCGATGATTTCGCGGATGCTGGCCGCGATTTCCTCGCGCCGCTCAATCACGTCTTGCAGCACCCGCGCGCCGATGACGTGCCGCAGCGTCGTCTGCGTCCGCTCCACTAGCGCTTGCCGGATGTTGGAGATGCCGAACGCTGCTTTGTGCGGCGAGGTGATCCGGTAGTAGATCACGGACGTGAGGTACAGCGATACGTTGTCCTTGGTCATGCAGACCTGCTTGGGGACCTCTGCGTGCGGGGAAAACCGTCAGCCAACCACTCCATCATCCTTCACAACGACAACAACAACAACAACAACAACAACAACATAAAGAAAAAAACACAAGCTTCCAAAAAAAAAAAAAAAAGTACATAAGCACATACCGACAATCTGAATCTTGACATCCACCGAGATCAAGTTCTCGCTAAGCGGGTTAATCTTGACAAGGCCGGGGTCGACAGCGCGGGCGAAGCGGCCAAACTTGGTGACGAGGCCGACATTGCCCTGGGCGACAGGCTTGTAAGGGTTGGGGCAGCAGAGACAGCAGGGAATGGCTCCGAGGGTGCCGACGAAGCTGCCGAACGCGTCGACCATGGACCCGTACCACGTGTGCTGCGAGGCATCCTCGGTGTCGGGCTTGATGACCTGCGCGTAGCTGGGCTGCAGGTCCTCGCGCCGTGGCGGCTGCACCTTGACGACGGTGCCGTTGTCGTTGAGCGCGCGCCGCGAGTTGCTGCTCGACTCGGGCGGCTTGTTGTTGAGCGTGCTTTGCGGGCCGGCGGCGTCGAGCGAGCTCATTGTTGTTGGTGGTTGGTAATTGTTTGTTGGAGTGGATTGAGCTGGTAGTGATGATGATGATGATGGTGGGGAATGGAATGTGCGAGATGGGTTGCTGACACGGTTAAATTGCCTGTGTTTTTTCGTTCTGTTGCGAGCGCACTGCATAAGCGGGCGAATGCCGTGGGATATATAAGCACGCGTGCTGCATCCCAGCCCATGGTCACGCCTGCGAGAGGATGCGGAGGTGGACCGACCATTTCGAGGGCCCGTCTTGCCCAATGCGGCGTAGCATCCGCGAAGCTTGTCCGGGGCAGTGCAAACACTAACGATGCGCTGGCCTTATGGACACGATGGGGTTACAACTTGCGTCTTCTACAATTCACGCTCCCACGTTCTGTCGAGCCCAACACCACGGTTCCCGATAATGTGTGATCCGCTGGTAAACTATGCTCGTTTCCCCGCAGCTTTCTTTTCTCAACCACTACCTACCTCACTACCGCCGCCCATTAAGACTAAGGATCGAACAATAAGACGCACGGCAATCGGCACCGCCGCTGCGCAGAAGGAAGAGGGACTGACTGCCTTGGGACCGATCACGAGCTCCTTGCCACCGCCATTGGGACCGTGCCAAAGGTGCAGCGGGTCGACACCGCCGCTGCGGCCCAAGGTTAAGCCTCTTCTGGGGGTCAAAGAATGTTATGGGGAAAAGATGCGGGAAGGTAAGGCAGATCTCGCTTAGCTAATACGCGTCAAGGCCGACCCTATGACGCCTTGGTGCCACTCTTTCCCTCTATATTTGCTCTTGAGGCATTCTTGAAGGATTCGCCAAGCCTGCGTTACATGTGACGCACCAGGGCGCAGTCACGTTCTCTTCGTTTGCTGTTGTTCGCCGCGCCATTTTTTCTTCTGGAATTCCCGTGCCATGTCCGCGGGAAGATCGTCCTTCTGGAAGGAAGGGAAAAAAAAAAAGGCTGCGCCTCAATTGGGTTGCCCGTCAATCGTCTGAGGCTCTGAGTTGGCACGTTGGCATTGCCGTGGTCGGTCTTCTCCCGTGTGTTTCGCCCCCACGCGCGCGACGAAAACGAGTTGGGCCCCTGATGCTGTGCTGCTGCGCTTTATCTCCGTGGGAGGAGTAAGCGCCGTCATCGGGTTTCTCTTTTGGGGCGGAGGCGTCTGTCCTGCTGTCTCGTGAGGGCCAATGATTCAGAAAACGTCATTCCTGTCTACTCTAGTAAGTAGTACTGTGCTCGAAAGTATAACGGTGATGGCCAAGTTGAACCACTGTTGACTGCATCTATTTTTATACTGGTGTCATACTGAAGTGTATGCTACGATAAACCAAGCACGGACGCCTCCAGCGATCTCAATTCAAAGCAGGACTCAAGACTAGAAGAGGAAGGTGTTGGCGGAGTCGGGGCGGGCGAATCCTGCTCGTAGCGAATCGGGAGTGATTGGATGCGGGGGCGGGCGGTGGAAGCCGCTCCGTATTTTCGACGTGCTGGTTCGTCGTGACAAGCACCTCAATCAGACCAAGTAGGTAGAGAAAAATGTCGGAGCCGCAAACCCAAGCCAAAATGCGTAGGTCGCATCGGAAGACGCGCACCGGCTGCTCCCAGTGCAAACAACGCCGCGTCAAGGTGCGTGCCTATAAAGCGTGTCTTTCCGCCCCTTCCCGGCGGCCCTCTGGACTAACTGACGTCCATCCTCTGCGCAGTGTGATGAGCGGAAACCTTCGTGCTCCAACTGCACCAAGCGCTCCACCCAATGCAGCCTCCAGTTCAACGTTCCCCAGCTGCCCTACTCTTACGCCAACCAACCCTTGAAGCCAGCGACGGCGACCGAAGCTAACGGCAGCCTCTCCACCTCCCATTCCCCCTCCTCGGCAGCCACGTCTCCCTTCCAACACCATGAATCCCCGCAAACGCCGTCGCCGGCCCCAACCTTGTTTACCCTAGAGGACATGCAACTGCTGCATCACTTCATCGTATGCACCGCCGAGACCTTCACCGAGCACCTCGAGCACCACGACATGTGGCGCAAAGCGGCGCCGTCAATCGCCTTCGAGCACCCGCCTCTAATGCACAGCCTGCTGGCCCTCTCGGCCATCCACCGCGCGCACATGGAGCCCTCGAAGCGCCAGCGCCAGCAATACGTGATGGTGGCGACGTCGCACCAAAACATGGCCGTGGCCGCCTACCGCCCCACGCTGCTGGACATCACGCGCGAAAACTGCCACAGCATCTTCCTCTTCTCGGCCCTGCTCGTCTACTGGGCCCTCGCCAGCCAGCACGACCTCCAAGGCTCCGCCCCCCTCGAGCACGCCACGGCGCGCATCAACTTCAGCGACGACGACCCCTCGGAGTGGATCCGCTTGATGCGGGGGTGCCCCTCCATCCTCTTCACCAACGCCGGCCAGGTCTTCGAATGGGTCGCCAACGGCCCGCTGCACCCGTTCTTCCACCCGCGCCTCGACGTCTCCGAGGACCTGCCCTTACCCCCCGAACTCGCGCCTAGATTCCAGGCCTTGCGCGCCGCGCTCGTCGACCCGGGCCCCGCCGCCTCCGTCGCCACCACTGGCTCCGGCGCACCGGACCCGGACGCCGCCACCTGCGAGCGCGCCGCCTACGCCCACGCGCTGCACGAGCTGCAGCGCTACAGCGTGTTCCTGTGGCAGCAGACGCAGGCGTCGGCGCAGCCGCGCATCGTGCTCGAGCGGCTCGACCAGATCCGCATGTCGTGGCCGGCATCGGTCGACGACGAGTACGCCGAGTATCTGCGCGCCAAGCGGCCGGGGGCGCTGGTGCTGCTGGCGCAGTACGCTGTGCTGGTCAAGCCGCTGAACAAGTTCTGGTGGGTGAGGGGCCTCGATCGGGCGCTTGTGAGTGTGGTGTGGAGGCTGCTGCCGCTGGAGTGGAGGGGGTGGGTCGAGGAGCCCGCAAGGATGGTGGGCGCTTGGCGGGATGGGGGGGTTGTGGTTTAAGTGGGTG